GATCTCCTGGGGGCAGGCCAGCCCCTCTCACCGAAGCCTGCATCCTGGGAGGTGCGGGTCCCACATGGGCACAGCCAGGCGTCTTCGCGGCCCCCTCCCCTACGTCCTTCTCCAGAGGCACGTTCACACCCACCTCGGTGGGTGCAACATGAAGCCCGGGTGGCACACACGTCGGACCCGTGTCCACCGTCACGCCGAGTTTTGCTTCCTCCAGGCTGTGTCCAGGCTCCCCTAGGGGCCTCGCCCCCTTCTTCGGGGACCTCCTGAATGATGGAAGCTTGAATTTCAGCATTTTTAAGGGACTGCCTTTCCCTTCGCGGTCAGCATCTTCAGCCATGGCCTCGCCTGCAGCCAATGCGGCCGTGTCCGCACTGCCTGACACGGAGACACCTGGGCATGGTGGCTGACAGCCTGGCGACCCGAGCTCTGGGGCCCCTTCAGCTGTGGAGGCCGGTCCCCACACAGCGCCAGGAGGGGATGGGGTGGGGACAAACTCCACGGCCCTGGGCTCCAACTCACGACCAGCTGATTTCGGGATGGAAAACCCAAACTTTGGTCGATGAAATTTAGGAAAAGTCACACGACCGTCAGCAGGGGGAAGCAGGGGACCCGCTGGGCTAACGGGACTGTCAGTTTGGGACAGTGCAACTCCATCCTGGGGCTGCAAGAGAGCAGGACTGTCTGTGCTGGGGAGGCAGGCATCCTGCTGGGACCCAGAGCCGGGTTCCGGAGGGAGCTCGGCAGGGACTGCAGCTCTGGGGAGAGTCACCTGGTACTTTGTGAGTGTGATGCCCCTGTCGGTGGAGTGGGCTGGGGACTCGACTTGGCCACGACTGAGATGGAGCGTCCCTGAAGGGAAACTCGGGCACTGTGGGCGGGGAGCCGGCAGGGCGGGTTCCCTGGAAAACACAGCGTCAGCACAGGACCCCCCGTGACTGAGCTCTGCAGGCTCAGCAGGCGGGCTCGGGGACACGGGGAATCCAGAACCCGCCCCTGCTGCTGCAGACTGCTCAGAGATTTTCCCCGCAGCACAGAAGACATCGGGAATTCGCAAGATGGATTTCTTCACTACGGCTTCTACGTCACTTCTTTCTACAGGTAAACAGCCATCAACGCCATCTTGGGGGACAGAATGACCAGGACGGCCTTTGACAGAAGTAATTTTACCTGAAAATCTAACCGGGTCATGACCTACAACACTTTCCACAACTTCAGCTGAACTCCGAGAACCTTCCATAGAAACCTTCTCAAAATACTGAACACTGTCTTTACGAATGTGGAATTTGCTGTCCTTGGCGGCCACCTCCTTGTCACCCAGGGCCAGGTCGCCCTCCAGCTTGGCGCCCGGCGCCTGGGTGTCCACCTCCACGCTGGGCAGGGACACCTCTAGGTCGGGGGCCGTCACCTCGCCCTTGGTGCCCTTCACCTCCAACTTGGGCCCCTTGATGTCCACCTGCGGGGCCTTGAGGTCCACCTTGGGCACCTTGATGCCGGGCATGTGCACCTTGGGCAGGTGGCCCTTCAGTCCGATGCCCGCCGCCGGTTCCTTGAGCTCCACCTCGGGCAGGTGGCCTTCGGGGGGCTTAACAGCCACCTCGGCGGCCCTGACGTCCAGCTCGGCGGGTGGCAGCTCAATGCTGAGGCCACTGGTCTTCACGTCGGCCTGCACGGACGGCAGGGACACGTCCGCCTGGGCCTTGGGCAGGGACACGTCCACTGCGGCCTCGATGGACTTGCCTGGCGCCGACACGCCGAAGGATGGCATCTTGAACTTGGGCATTTTGAACTTGCTGTCCTTGGCGGCCACCTCCTTGCCACCCAGGGCCAGGTCGGCCTCTTTTCTCTCAAGTGTCTCTTTCTGTGGGAGTTTTTTTTCTGGAAGTTCTGCTTCTTCTTCTTTTCTACCGCTGATTCGTCCGTCCTCTTGACATATGTCTGATTCCTGACTTCGGACCATGTTCCCTTCCTTCTCTATCTCCTGGAGCTGTTTCCCTGCATCCCCTTTTTCCTCCTTCCCTGGTGACCAGCCAAATGAGGGTAGTCTGAACTTCAGCATCTTTGTCTTTCCTTCCCTGCCTTCCACGTCCCTGTCCCGTCCCTTGGTGTCCTCTACCCTCTTCTCAATCGCATGTTCCTGTGTTCCTCTGTCCTCCTGGTCTGGCTTCTGGACCGGAGCAGGTCTTCCCTGAGCATCTGCTTCCCCTCCTCCATCCTCCTTGGTCCCTGAGTCCTCTCCCTGGTACCCTCCCTTCCTGTCTTCCAGCTGGAGAGCAGCCCCCGCTCCATTTTCCCGCAGCGCTTTTCCTGTGGGAAATGTGAGCTTGGCTGCCTTCAGTGTAGGTGTTTTAACCTGGAATTCGGGTTCCCGGCCATGGTGGCTGTCTTGGTCCCTGGGCTCCTGCATAGACAACCTGGCAATTCCCATTTCCAGCCCCTGCCCGCCCTCCCTGGGGCCCTCATCCCTGCATCCTGGGGCTGCGCCCACCCCTGATGTCCTTTGGGGCGCTGTCTCCTCCTGGACGTTGGCCTCCTTTGTCTTTCTGCGGCTTCTGGGTGCCAGGCCTGCCCCCTCCCCCAGGGTGCCCTCCAGGAACAGGCCGGGCTCTGTGGGAGGCTCTGCCTCCTCCTTCACTCCTGCCATGCTGTCTTCTCTCCTGCTGTCCGCAGCCACCGCGGCGGCCCCCTGCCCCTCCTCGCCAGGTACTGCTTCCTCCAGAACGCCGGCTTGGACTGTTCCCCCTGGGGCCCCCCTGCCTGCTAGACCCGCGGCCTTCCCTGAGCCCATCCTGAACCTCAGGCTCAGGAACCTTGTCTTCCGCTGGCTGCCTGGTCCCGCCCTCCGCTCGCGCTCCTCTGCGGGGAGCTGGGCCTCTGTGTCTGTGCTCGTGGGGGACACGTCAGGCACGTCCCCTCGCTCGTAGGCCTCCGAGGAGCTGTGTGACCTCCGGGGCCCCGGCCTGCGCTTGGTCTTTATAGCTTGGAACTTGGGCCAGGAGAGCCTCTCCCTCTGGGGTCGTCTGCCTCTGCCCTCCCTGGCCTTGGAGATGAGTCTCTCCTGGTCCCCATCTCCTTCCAGCATCTTTGTGGGGGTCTCTGTGCACCCATCAGGGACATCCTGGTCCTGAAACAGAGAGAGTGGACCTGTTGGCAGCAGTACAATGAGTCGGAGGCCCTGGGCTCCGGGACTAAGAGGGAGTGGGGGGGGCCCCTCCCTCCCAGCCTCGGCGTGGGTGCAGGGAGCCCGGGGCGCCAGGCCAAGCCTCACCAGCCATGGCGACCTCACCTGCTTCTCACTGCCCTTTGGGCCACGCTCAGCCCCGCCGGCAGCCCACTCCTCGTCTTCTGCGGCAGGAAGTTTCCGTCTGATTTTGAACTGAACCTTGTAGGGCTCCGAGTACTGAAGGATTTTGAGAGCGTCTTCATATTTAATGTTGTCAAAGAATATGGTTGTGCTGAGCAACTGGTCCCCTAGATGAAGACAGAGGGGACTCGCGCCTCAGTGACCAGCCTCTCTGCTGCCCCCGGGAGGAGTCTACAGGGGTGCGGGGCTGAGAAGGGGACCCTGCCCGGGCTGCCCAGCTCCTTCCCTCCATTGACCCTCGGTGGGGAAGGAGCCCCTGCTTCCAGGTGGGAAAACCCGGCACCGTGGCGAGCCCCGCCTGGACGCGGCATAGTCCTTAGGGTGCCGTCCCGAGTCTAGGTGTGGCCTGTCCCCTCCAGGTCCCTCCCATCCTGATGGAAGCCATGGGGACCCAGGAGTGGGGTGGCTTGGCACCTTCTCTCAGGTTGAAGAGCTTAGCAGCTGAGGAGTCCTTCAGCACTTGTTTGATAAATATCCCCTGGTCCCCGCCGCCTGTGACACTGTAGCCACTGGCTCCGGCCTCCACCTCGGTCTTCAGCGTCACCTCTGTCTCGTCCTGCGTGGACTGGAGCAGAAGTGCATCATGGCCTTAGTGAGCATACGCCTGTCCCACTGTGCACGTCGATGCTGGGTGGGGGCTGCCTCCCCTGGCCCCGGAGTCCTCCCTTCATCGGGCAGCCCAGGGCAAGCGTAGGGTCCCCCGGCAGCTGGCCTGGGTTGCTGTGTCCAGGCCCTGGGCGAAGCCAGCTGCAGCTACCTCCACTAGGAGCAGCCTCCCCTTGCCCCGCCCCCACCAGCCAGGACTCAGGAGCAGCCTGTCCGTCTGCGGCCACTGTTGAGGCTCAGCGGGGCTTGGCGAGCAGGGAGGAGAGGCTTTTGCTCACACATGGTCAAAGCCTTCCTCCATCAGCTCCTAGTTCATCCCTCACGCTCACCCCAAGCCCGACAGCATGCTAGGAAGCAGGTACTCAGACCAAGTAGGGGTCAGTCAGCAGTGCCAGGAAAAACACTCCCAACAGTGTGGCTGGCCTGGCCCCAGACACGACAGATCCTGGGGGTCTGGGAGAGTTTCAGGTCTGCTGGGGCCACCAGTGACACAGCAGGCTGCAGCAGGAGGGACCGCGCCCTGCACACTGGGAGCCTGCGGAAACCAGCAGCTTCCATGGCCTGTGTGCAAAGCAGGCAGCAGCCCCGCCCACTGGGCAGCTGAGAACACTGAGGTCTGTGCACCCAGGCCCACCTGGCCAGGAGTCAGGGCTCTTCGTCTTAAGAGGCAGAGCTTTTGGGGGAAGCTGGGACCAGAGTTCTGGAGCCTCTGCCACCCCCAGGCCTGATGAGAGAGGTGACATGCCTGGCCCCAGGGCACAGGGACATGTTGCCAGCCTTCCTACTCCTCATCTTCTTGGTCTGGCCCCGGCTTCCCTGGCCAAAGCACCTTCAGATGGGCCTACCCCGACGTCAGCCCCTAGAACACCCACCTCGGGATGGCGCATCTTGGAAAGCATCCGGGAGTCCCCTGAATCCCGCGTCCACCAGGACCTCCGCCTCCCTGATGGCCTCCTCGGCGTGTCTTCCTGCAGCAGCAACAGACACTGGGCTTGCCAATCTGCCACAACCCAGGAGGGACTCGGGGAGGCCAGGATGCCCCAGCTCAGAAGCTTAGGACACCCAGAGTGTGGCTGTGCGCAAATGGAGTGGAATTCCTCTGAGGGTAGGCGACTCTGGGCCTCAGTGCTTCCCACGCCTCCATGAGGAGAGGCAAAGAAGAGACAAATGGTACAAGCACAAGCCCTTTAGGAAACATGCCTGCTCCACGCCTTCCCACAGTCCTCGCCAGAGGCGGCCTCGGGGGCCCTGTCTACGTCTCCTCTCCAGAGAGGGCACGTGTCTGCACGTACCCTGGGCCTCGCTGCACACAGGAGCACCAGGTCTGCTCCCCACATGCACACACATGTGCGCTATCTCTACGGGGTCTCGGCCACCTGGGCAAGGAGTCAGAGAGGACGGCTGAATGGACACAGCTGTGGCACAGTAGGCAGCGTGGCTGCACACACATGTGCGAGCTGCCCACGCAAAGCGATGCAGGAGGAGACATGGCCACACCTGTGGCCCCACATCTGAGCCTTCCCTAAACCTGGGCATCTTGGTCCAGCAGGCTTACCGAGAGTCTGAAGCTGGCACCCTCAGTCACACATTCATAGACAGGTGAGGACCCCTGTGGCCGGGGCCGAATGATCTCGTCCACAGGCCTTTCAGTCACCTGGGAGGAGGAGAGATCATGTTACTCTCAGCCACTGGGGCTCTGCTCAAGCCCAGGAAATGATGGGGGAGTACCGGGAGAGCACAGGTCCTCCCTCACTTACAGAGTGGTCCTCCCTCACAGAGCAATCCTCCCTCACTTACAGAGCGGTCCTCCTCGGTTTCTGCATCTGGCTCCTCAGGCTGCAGCTGCCGGCCAGACACTGCAAAGGGAGACAGCGGGTCAGTGGAGCCTCGCAGGTGGGTGGGGCAGATGGTGGCCCTGGGGGTAGGATGCCCAGGAGAGGATCTTTGCCCCAGAGGTGGTGGAACGCTGGACACTGGATCTGAGAGCACCCACAGGGGTTGGGGCTGGATCCACAGCTGCTGGGCATCAGGGCATCAGGTCAGGTGGCAGTGAGCCACGACAGGGGAGCTCGGACAAAGTACACAGACTTTACAGATTGAGTCAAAGGAAGTTACTAAACAAACACACAAGTGAAACAACAATCACAACCCTGAAGTGGAATCAGAATCCAGAGTTACTACAAGATATGAACTGTAATGTCTAGCATTCAGCAGGAAATCACATGACATACAAAGAAACAAGAAAGTATGATCCATCATGAGGAACAAAGCAGGCAGTGGGAACTGTCTTTTAACGTCCACAGATGTTGGATTTGGCACAGACTTCAAAGTGACTATCAGAAGTTTGTTCAAAAAAATAAAGGAGATCATGTTTAAAGAATTAATGAAAAATATGATGACACTGGCTCAACAAAGAGACAATGTCATAAAGAAATAGAAATGATGAAAAAAGCCAAGTGGAAATTCTGGAGCTGAAAATTCACTGGAGGGACTCAACAGCAGAAATGAGATGCCAAAGGAAGGAGGCGAAAAACTTGCAGATTAATAAAAATTAATCAATTTGAAGAAAAACGAAAAACAACTGAAGGAAAATGAACAGAGAGCCTCAGAGATCTGTGGGACAACAGTGAGAACACCAATGTATGTGTAGTTGAAGCCTCAGAAGGAAGAGGGGGTAGAAAAAAACGTTTGAAAAAATAATGTCGGAAACAAGCTACAGATCTCAGAAGCCCAATAAACCTCAACAGGTTAAACACAAAGGGACCAGATCTAGACCATCACATACAGTTTAAGGGAAAGAGAAAACTTGGAAGTAGCAAGGGAGAAGTGAGTGCCCCACCACATTCAACGGCACAATAATGCAGCTAACATCTGGCACCATGGACGCTAGAAGGCAGTGCAACCACATGTTCAAAGTGCTGGAAGAAAAATGTTGTCAACCAAGAAGTCCATATCCAGCAAACAATCCTTCAAAAATAAAGACCCCCGCAAATGAACAAAGATTAGGAGAAGCCATTGCTGGCAGATCTGCCTTACGGGAAGTGCTGGAGGAGGAGAAGGACCCCAGACACTAATCCAAGCCCCCAGGAAGAAACGGAGAAGGCAGAAGGCAACCTCCATGTGGGGAGACATAGAAGACTCCACAAATAGGCCTTTTTCTGCATTCCATCTCTTAACTTTAAAAAAAAAACACAAGCTTATATAAAGCAGGAGTTTGCAAACTTTTTTTGTACAAGCCCAGACAGCAAACGTCTCAGGCTTTGCAGGCCGTGTGATCTCCGCTGCAACTCTGTAGTTGTAGCCTAGTAGGAGCTGTAAATGATGATACGCAAATGGATGAGCATAACTGTGTTCCAGCAAAACTTTCCTTACACAACAAGCTGCAGGATGGAGTTAGCGCACAGGCCCCAGCCTGTCAACTCCTCATATAAAGTGTGAATTCAAATGCCATATTGTTGGGATTACAACATATAGAGATGTCATATATATGCAGCAATAATAGCAAAAAGGAGGGGGAAGGGGAAGGGCACATAGTGGGTCAGTTTCTATATTTTACCAGAATTAAGTAATTGCTGGGGACTAGGGGTAGGAGCGGGCATTGGCTATAAACAGGCTCAGGAGAATCTGGGGTGATGGAAATGTTCTAGCATTGGATTGTGGTGATGGCTGCACAACTCTATAAAGTTACTAAAAATGGCTGAATCATGTATTCACAGTGGGCGAGTTTTCTGGTATGCAAATTATACCTCAACAAGGATGTGAAAGGAAAAAGGTAATTCCCTGCATAAAGCAAAAATAATAAACTGCAGAATTTTACCTCTGTAGAAGTAAAACACATGATGACTACAGTTCAAAGGACGGGGCTGGGGCACTGAAAGCTCCTGCTGTAAAGCTCTCACGTGGCGCGTGAGGTGGCACAGTGCTGCCTGAACGCGCACTGTGATGAGTAAAGAACACACAGCATAAGCCGTAAAGCCACCGTTAAGAGAAGATGTGCGGCTGATACGCTACCAGGAGAAGTAAAATGGAACACTAAAAAAAATTACATGTAGATGTGCTTTATATATGTATATATAAAATATATATTAGTAAGTGATTATACATGTGTATATATTTGATTAATTCTAAAATAAGGTAGGGAAAGAGGAACAAAGAATGGACGGCATAAAATAGAAAGCAATTTGCAAGACGGTAGAATTTAAGCCAGCCATACTGACAATACATTAAATATAAAGGGACCTAAAATTCTGATCAAAAAGCAGAGGCTGTCCGACAAGGTTAAAAAAGCAAGAGCTGACTATATACCATGTAAGAGAAGTGGGCTCCAAACATAAAGGTGCAGACAGATCAAAAGGAAAGGGAAGAAGAAGTACATACTGCAAGAACTAATCGCAACATTTCAGAATAATAAAGGGCTCAATTCATCAAAAATAAAAATAAAAAGCCTAAATCTGTAAACACGTCACAGCAGAGGCACTGGCCCTTGGAGAGCACCCCACCGGACAACCCTTGCAAGCGCACTTGGGACATTCGCAAAGATAGACCCCATGCTGGCTCATTGTAAATGTCTCAATAAATTTAAAATAATTTAAATCATACTAAGTATTTTCTCAGACTCCCCATGGAATCAAGACAGTATGGCATAAACACAAATATCAAAGGAACAGACTAGACAGTCCAGAATAGTCCCACACTTTGTATGCTCAGTTGATTTTTGACAAACCAGCCAAGTTGTTTCAGCAGAAAAATGAGTCTTTTCAACAATGGTGCTGGGGCAACTGGATATTTACTTGGAGAAAAAAATGGACCCTTACTTCATATTACATGTAAAAATTAACTCAAAATGAATCATAGAGCTAAATGTAAAACTATAAAACTTCTAGAAGAAAACATAGGAGAAATTGTTTGCCCTCTTGGGGGAGGCAATGCTTTCTTCTTTGTTTCTTTCTTCAAACAAAAAGTTTGAATTATAAAGGAAAATTTGATAAATTATATTTCATCATAATTCAATACTTCTGGTCTTGAAAGGCACTCTTAAGGAAACAAAAAGGCAATTCATTGCATCTGACAAAGAACTTCCATCCAGAAGAACTTCTCCAAATCAGTAGAAAGAGGCCAAAAAGGCTCATCTCAATTAAAAATAGACAAAAGATGTAAACAGACACTTCACAAAAGAAGACATACCAATGAGCACAAGAAAAGACAGCCAACATCTTTAGTCATTAGGGAAATGCAAATTAAAACCAACTGAACAAAACAAAAGTCCCAGAAGCAGACTCACACAGATACAGAGCTGTGGGAGATGTATGTTCTTTCCAGTAAGCAGTGCTGGGTCCACAGGACATCCATATGGAAAGACATTCATCCCAACTCCTGTGTCAGCCCCAGGAAGCATTAATTCATGGGGCTATAGACCCGAAGTTGAAGGTTTAGCAGGACAGCTCCCAGCAGATAAACAGAAATGACTTGGCAGGTAGGGAAACAGTTCTTAACCACGACACAGAAAGCTCTGGCTCGAAAGGGAGTCACCTGAGAAACTGGTAGACTTTAAAATGAGGACCTTCTGTTCATCAAAAGACACCACTGAGGGAGTGAAAAGTCAAGCCAGGGACAAGCCAGAGATCTGCAATCCATTCACCAAACAAAGGCCTCCTACCCATAAAAAGGTCTTGCAAATGGAAAGAAAAAGACAGATGGCCCAACAGAAAGATGGGTAAGAAAACACTGGAAAGGCAATTCAGAAAAGATGGCCGACTGGTCAATTAACATATGGAAAGTGCATCCTTAGCCATCAGGGCAATGCCAATTAAAACAACAGGCAGCTGCCACTTCACTCCCAGGAGAAGGCTGACAAAACACCCAGCGATGTCAAGGAGCGTCCCCACCCTGTGGATGAGCTGGCACTTTGGAAAACAGCCTGGCAGCATCTACTAGGGTCTAAAACATCCTGCCCGAAGGATCTGCGGCTCCACTCTCAGGTGTGTGCCCAACAGACACGCAGGCATCCGTTCCCCAGAGGATGGGTGCAGCACTACCGTGGTGCCCAGAAGCCAGAAAGGCTCAAATGTCCATCAACAGAATGAAAATAAAAGTTAAAAAAAAAACTGGGAGTCTTTCTGTTACACAGCAAGGGAAACGAATGCGGCAACGGGGAAGAGTTCCCCGAACTTAACACTGAAATAAGCTAGACAAAAGAAGAGTCAGGGGGTATAGCTCAAGTGGTAGAGCGTGTGCTTAGCATGCACGGGCTCAATCCCCAGTCCTTTCATATAAAAATAACAATGATAATGATAATTAAAGAAACCTAGTTACTTCCCCCCAAAACAAACAAAGAAAAAACAAAGAGCCCAAACAGAACTCCACTACACAGGCTGTGGTCAGGCCCGTCCACTTCGGGCACATGCCTCAAGCTGCAGATGTATGACTTGTACCTTTTCACAATTTTTAAAAGTTTGACAGAAAATTGAAATGAGGAAATTATAAACTTGATGCCAATAAATCTGAAAACATAGAGGAACTGGACGTATTCCTAGAGAAACTCGTGCTACCAGCATCGCCCAAAGAGAAACAGAGGCTCTAAACCGTTCTGTAATGATTCAATTATCAAGCCGCTGCGCAGAACTTCAGGCCAACGCCCCTGATTGCACTAAGTATTTGCTTGAGAAGCAGCCCACGGATTTCACACCAGCTATGGCTCTGCGCTCAGCCTCGTCCTCCCTGGCTGGGACCGCATTGTTAGTGACAAAGGGACACGCGTGTCCACTCCCAATCCCCAAGCTCCCATCCACCCCAGCCAGCAGGGCTTGAAGCGGAAGGGAGGGAATCCCTGTCCCACCGCTAGGGGGTGGGGAGGACA